CTGGAACTTTTATGAAGACACTTAAAGAGGTCGGTGTGCTCATTCCCGATGAATGTTTCTTCAAGCCTACAATTTTTCGCAAAGTGCTCAACTAACACATCTAATAGCCAAAAACTACCCTAAAGAAGCTCACATATCTGACCTAGAGCTATCTCAAAAATGAATCGCACCATAACAACTCGCCAAAAGATTATTCAAAACCTTATCCTAAACCACTTCTGTTTCCCTTACCAAAACTCGATCCGCACATATATCAGGGCTCATAAATGTTCGGCGAGCGTTACGAATAGTCAGTGAGAGAAGAACATGGGCAAAAACGAATCGGCGATTGCACAGGCAGAAAATTGGTTTACACCGTGCATCGCGGTCACTCGATACCTCGATTCGTTCACGTATCATCCGCATGTGCGTATAATGAGCAGGTCGTCGTTGAAAATCTATGAAAACCCATGGCCAAGTTCCATCCCCGACACCGATGCAATATTAATAAACCGTACAAATCACCGTGGCTCAATTCCACGGTTAAATCCACCGGCATAGGCCATAGATTACAGCAATTGAGGCCGGAAGGTAGGAGTGGAGCGGAGTCGGGTTGGCCAGGGCGGGAAAGGGAGAGATACACGATAAAGGCAACGGGGGTAGCACGAAGGGTAAGACGGGTCTGAAGTTGGGGAATAAGGTGGAAGGAAAGAGCGTGGAGCTGGTTCGGAAGACGAAAAGAATCCACGGGAGAAAACGGCGGCAGGATCGTGGGGTGGTGGCTGTAGTAGCGGCGTGAGGAAACGTAGGACCACGTTTCACCATACAATACACACACGTACACACGCACACGCGATGGGGTGTGCGCGCCGCCACCCATACATCCTCTAGGTGAGCCACACGTAGGCGCCAGCTTTCACATGTACGACCACGCAGACAGGGATACGGCCACACCGACGCATAGATTGCATACTTATGCCGGCACTGTGCACATAAAGTTAGGGCGGCGCGCGCTCTCCTTCGCTGCCGCACAAGAATAAGAAACACGGTAGCATACATAAACAAGGAGGTTGGGGATGCAGCAATTTAAAACGTACCCCGGAATTCCTCCCAACGGGGTCGTAGAGCGGCCCTCTATATTACGAATTCCTCCCTTCCTCCTGTGAACGCCCACCCTCTCCTCTGAACCCACCTTTGCTTCTTCCCTCCCGCTACCCTGTGTGTGTCCTCCTGCATCTTATTGGGAATTTCGGTCGTATAAAGTGGGACTATGAGCAGCCTTGTGTATTAACGGATACCTAGCGGAGAGTGGTCCGGATGGGAAAGTGGATCACGGTGATGTGCACAATCCGTATCCGCTTTTGGGGCATGTCTTTGGCTGACAGTGGAGGCTGAAGGGTAGATCCATGGTGACCTCAGCCGTAGCTCTCTTTCGACAAACGTTGTTCGTGTTTGTAGGGTTTTGAAGTTTGATGGTGGTTGCTTGGGTTGTTCGGCGAGAAATTTGGTAATTGGTTGTTTACTGAGAAATGAAGAAAGCGATGTAAATATAACGGTCTGAATGTACGACATCATGTGCAGAGACTAGTCGGATTAACGGAGGCTAATGATCCTCTGAGTGCTTTTGAAGAACACTAAGGGAATATCTGAATATCTAGAACTGCTTTGATAATTCTAGTACACGGCATAAAGTTTTCTGTTCGAAATGAAGGACAATCGAATTTCGGAACTTATATTAATTACTAATATTATACTATTTGGGTTTTGTTAAAATATAGCCCAATATTATTGTATAGTTCCCTAAAAATGCAAAAATCTGATGAATTTAATTAACGAATAATACCAAAAACATTATTATATTATTATAAACATTACAATCAAAAACACGAAAGAATTCTCCCTCCAAGAATCAATCTCCCTCTAAAAATCATCCACCACTATCGAATCGTTGAAAATCCTTCAACAGAAGTCTATCTCTATCCTCGAAAACGCCATGACAGTTAATCCAGCGGCTGTCACAAACTCGACGAAGAACACGTGTTTCGTCGAAGAAGGTTTCGCCAAAGTTCCGTCAGAATATCTAATCACTTTCTTTCCTTAGCTAAGTAACAACGAGCGTCCCAAGTTTCGCGCGAGGAGACTTAATCAGGCTGGTTGGCTGGCTCGAAAACTTATCCCGTCAGCGTGGAAGTTCGAATCCTTCCGGGTTTAATGCCTATTATGCAGATCAGCGCGCGGCCAACGCGCGGCTAAGTCAAATACCGTTAACAATGGAGAATCTGCAAGTTGCTTCATCGTTGTGAATCGAGCGATTGGCTGTTTGAACGGCGGTGTCGCCTCGGGCGGCTCTGTTTGCAGACATAAGGGAGCGGAGCCGAGCTGAACGGCGAGTCGGGGGAGTTCAATTGGTGGCGGCAATCCTAGTAATGTACCCGTGGGGCTCTGTCAAAGTGCTTTCCAGAAGAGAACGATGTTGCATTCAGCATTCGGAAAGTTCATTCTTGCCGGAAGTGGTGGCGCGCGCGGCCAAATAGCTGCATCCCCCGGCGAGGTCGGCCTCTCGAATGGAGCCTCTTCGATTTCTCTGAAAAACAGGGGGTGGAGATGGTATTAAGGAACAAACAGCAGATGACTCTGGAGCGGTCGTAACGACTGAAATTCGTGAAAGGTACTTGATCCAAGTGTGCAGTTAGCATAGGATGGCGATTACCTGGATCAATTGGGAGACGAATTTTGGATAATCGATCTGGAAGAAGAAAATTATGAAAAAATGATGGGTATTCTCGAAATATGAATAAATGAGACATGAAATGTTTTGTATTGAAATGTCTTGTGGTTCATTTGAGAAAATTCGCAAAGAAGTCTTTGTTTTCTACCTGGATTAGTGAAAGATCCTTTCAAGTGAAAAGATTCGTATCTAATTAAAAAACACAGGCCAAAATATAAATTTGTACGGTACCTGTTCCTTCTCGGTGTTTGATCCATTGCAATGCAATATCTAATACATTTGTAATTTTGCTGTGTATTGAGATAGTACATAGGATAGTATTATAATATATCCTATCATAAATGAACAGAATAATACTATTATTATTCATAGTCTTATATTTTCAATTACTTTTATTTATTTTCTTTCATGACTATAACAATAATCTTCAAACCCAGCTATATTACATGGCAATTTTGCTAATTCGCTATTAAATTCAATTTTTCATTTAAGTACAAATAAAAGTGACTCATCCTATATTCGAATAATCGGAGATTTATATAACCAAAATCAGCATAATCGTCATTCGGATAATAGACGTTTTATTAAAGATAGTACTCTCTTCTCTCTTACATTATAAAACAAAAGAATAGTAAGTATGTCGCGTTGTAAATAATATCTTTATGTCACAGACATTTAGAGAAAGATTAAAAATCATTAGCCTACAGGCCTAATAGTATCCATTTAATTTTCTAATCGTTGAATCCTATATCTCAAAGAAAATTGTACTCAAGGGATCATCTCGAAGAATAAAACTTTCGAGAGCTATTAAACCAGAAATAACCCAACAACACGATTCTTCATTCCTCATTTCATTTACGACGCTAAGGAGGAGATCCCACGAATGTTATAGCACAATGTAATTATCAGACAATGTTAGAAAATTCCGAAACTTGATCCAGAAGAAATAAGTTTCCCTTAAATGGCACTACGAAATCTAATTTCTCCTTCATTGAAAGAAATCGGTGTGGCGTTTTACGATGAAGAAAGGGGACTAACGAAGCTCGGAACCGTGTACTTTTATCAAAGAGGCAGACGCATCCTCGATAGTTCTTCGGTCTTTTCACACCTCCATGCCCAGGGACTTAAGTTTAAAAACCGACGGCTAAATAATGTATATCACAGCGGCAACAGCGGGCGGTAAAACAGTTATAAAAACACCGGCAACTACGTTAGGATCAATTATTTAAGATGTACAGCTCCGTAAAGAGAGAGTAGACCAGTCGTAAAGGGGGCGGAAGAAAGTAACGCTTCTAGGACGAACCGGAAGGAAGGGGAACGCAGGGGTTGGGAAGAAGGTGGCCATCGCGGGAGTTATAAAGGTTGCAGTTAAAAGTTGCTTGAATTATCAAGGGACTGACTGCTTCGAGACGACGGCGACCGTTATTTTTGAGCTGGTGCGTATTGGAATTTCTACGTGAAAGTTCGTGTCATTTTGCCAGCGTGATGAAATTGTCAGGTAGCGGATGGAGAAAAATCCGATATCCCTTACTTGCATCGCACTGCAGATGGTGTATTATTGAGAACAATTGCTGACATATTTTAAGAACGTTTATCGTGACATCGATCAAATATTAGGAATATGGTACTGTCACTAGCGATCAAAGCCTTGGACATAAGGCTTCTGGATATATTTCTTAGGTATACTTATCGGATATATTATTAAGTACATTTTGCTCAGTTACACAGCAATAAAATGATGAACGATATATTAAAAATTAAGCACGCTATAAACACTGTAGATGCAGCAAAGATATCTCTATTTGAAGTACTACACAGTAAGCTGAAGTACATACTATATAACTAATAGCATAGAATTCTTGTCTATATCTAGTAACAAGCAAGTTAATTTCGTTTCACATCGAAATAATCGTACCATTTACACTGATTTCCATCGATTTTGCTTGTCAGTTAATTATGTACTTTAGTATAGCTAAATCGCTGTTACTTTAATTGAATTCATACGAGAACTCGCATAGTAACGCAATTATCCCAATTTTATCAGTCTTTTAATAGAACCACGATTTTAAAATCAAAAATATTAGAATGGGAAATGAGATAACCTGTCTGGAGTTATAAATAAAGCCAATGATTGACTTGTAATCCATGAATTTCGAAACGTTTATTCTTTATTAATATACCTTTTACATTGCCAACTTCAAGTAAAGAGATGAAAATTATCGACAAATTTACTTAAGTAGGAATAATATTCAATTTAAGTAAGAATAAATATTCAATTAAAAGTATAGAACTTATGGCTGCTGACTTTGTTGACGAACATAGTGTTAAGGAGGATGAAAATGATTATGACATTATAATTATAGGAGCAGGTTTGGCTGGTCTTACATGCGCATATAATATCTTGAAGAAAAAAATTGGGTTAGATATATTGATCATCGAAGAGAACAGTAAATACTTCTCTAAATGCGAAAATACAATTTCTAAAAACACAAATAGTTATATTAAGTATCGTATAATGCAATATTTATTTAAGATCCATTTTCCAATTTTCGATACAAAATTTCTGTAAATTTTTCAATAAATTATTTCACCATACTAATTTAAAAATACCCTGTTTAATAATCATAATTTTTATTAATGAGCTACATATTTAAAATTAGGCGAAGCAGGAGGTCGTATTTTATCGAGAAACTTTAGCAATACTTACCATGCTAATTTCCTGCAGAAGCATGTGACTGAACTATTAAGAACGTTGCATATAAAAATTAACGAAGGATCTATTGACTTGGCGAAAGAAAAAATACTGTACACGAGAGAGAAAACCTTAAAAGTTTTACCCAAATTTTATGGAGCTGAGGTTCACAATTTTCTTCGAATGGTAACATAAATTATCATATTATATTATTTTGTATAAATAAAATTTGATTAACGCATATAAGAAATTTTCATGATATTATTTAACTTCATCGAGCTTTATCAAGCTTTATCGACTGATAAAATTAATAATGACAATATTTTACTCTAGGACGTGAATAAATTATACTTAACATCCACTATGTTTTATCCTTGACATATTTTTTCCCTGATAGATCGAAGAAAATTCTTCAAATAGGGAATTCAGTTATTATACTGATGATGAGGAGGCGAAGCATCTCGCTGAAACAAGCGTTGAACAGCTTCTTCGCAGAATCGTTTACTTTCCCTATGCACGTTCACTATGTCGGGCATTTATTTGCAGTACTTGCGGTAATTTAATTTAATTTTATTGACTTTTATATATATAAATATATGTACATTATAAAACTCATAACGAAAACCTTTGAACAATTTGATTTATTTTCCTATAAAATATACCTATATGAATAAAGTAATAGTATTAATAAATGATCAAATAATGCCATAATGATGAAATATTAAATAATTATTAAATAACTATATTGATTATTAAACAATATTAATCATGAATATTAAATAATTATATAATAATCAAGAAGTAATAAAATTGAATGAGTAAATGAACGATATTTTTACAATTTTTCACAGCCATGCGAAATCTCAACGATATCTCAGCACTTTGGTTTCTTGTCATGCTGAACGGATCATCCGGTTTGATAAATCGACTGAAGATCATGATAGGCGATACTAATCGATATTTCGTACATGTATGTACAAATAACTTTATATTGAAAATACTATTCAACACAAATTTTAATCTGTAATATTCATTGGATACTTCTTGGTGGGTTTACTTTCATAAGTATAATTATTATTACTATTATTATATAATTATATATTATTATTATTACAATAGTATTATTACTATTGAACATTACAGATTAGAGAAAAAATTAAAATTTGTCGAACAAGTTTGTTTGTGTAATAAAATTTAATTACTCTGAAGTTATATTTCTTACGATTTGGTTAATTGTGGTTAATAGACGTATACATTACCACTACAGGGTGGCATGTCCAACATAACTAATACACTGTTAAAAAACATTTTACGACAACATGGCGAGATAAGGTACGTGGAACCAGTTAATAAAATTACATTCAACAATGGTCGAGTCTACGTGTCGACAGAAAAGAATCATTTCAGGTATACGTTAAAGTATTTTTAAATAATGTATCACATAATTCTTCTATGCCTTAAAGTCAATTATTTCCTGCAGATATAAAATGTCAATATCATTACAAAAATTATAAAGATTAATATCACAGTCATATAAATTATAAGAACGTTGAAGAAAATTGTAAACACTAAAAAAATTAAAAATTATTAAAATCGGAAAACTTATAAAGATTATGAATAAACAAATTTTTCCTTTCCTCTCCATCATATTTACTTAGCAAACATGTAATCATTGCGTCACTTTAAAATATAATTACCATTATCCATTACAGATGCGAGTTTGTAGTTATAGCAGTACCGCCATCGTTGCAAAGTCGAATTGCTATCGAACCTCCTGAAAATTCAATAAACTCCCACGCCTTATATACCTCAGCTGACAATGTATTCTTCAATGTGACTTATAAAAAGCCATTTTGGAATTCTAATTCCACGCAAGATATCGTAACCACCTGGGATTCGAATAATAACTTAAACATAGTCTACGATGCAACTGCTGGCAACACGGAAGAATCTGTACTAGCTGGGTTTCTTGCCGAGTCTACTTTCATACAGACGCATAAAAAAGGACTGTTCGACACGTTAAACGATTGTTACAAAACAAACGAATCGTCAAAATATCTTCGATACAAGGAATATGATCAGTCGTTGATGGACAATGAAATAAAGTTTGGTTGTCCTATGAGCGTTCTAAAACCCACTTCCATTGACAATCATATCAACTACACTGGAACATCTAACGACAGGTGCAAAAATTTGTATTCAACTGTCAGTGAAATGAGAGATACATGTTATTAAATCTTGCGAAATATTTGGTGAGAAAGGAAATTAATTATCATCGGTATATTTTGTGAAATTAAAGGATAATTGAATTCTCTAAATAGAAAAGGAAAAATAATGATTTTAAGATCACTGATTTAGCGATAAAGATAATTACAAATCAATACTAGTCAGCTGAATTAGTATTTAGAAATTTAATATTTTATACATAGGTATTCTCATGTATTTTGCACACGCTCTTCTGTAAACGTTCTATGAATGTAACTATATATGTTCTTTTTATTATTTTTGTTAATATAAAATATGCGATTTAATAGTATATAGTAGTGACTTATGATTGCAACCATTAAGGTTATTAAATTATTACTACATTAAGTGAAATTAAAATTAATTTATGACATTAATAAAAATATCTTTTATGTCAAATTTTCTTTTTTCTTTCTTTTTAAGAATTTTCTTCGCTTCAAGCGAATACGCTGGTAATTGGCCTGGGACGATAGACGGCGCCATTCAAGCTGGTGAAGATACAGCTTATGAGATTTTGCTGCGAATTAGACCACAATCACTTTCTTTTCGTGAAATGTCTAATATTAGGTATGCACTTCGAATATTAATAACAGAAAAATATTTAAAAATTAAGATTGAAATAGTTAATACAAACTTCTATGTTCCTATCGCAATGTTATTCGAATAATTAACATAATACAAATCGTAGTTCTATATTTTAGTAAAAATGTCTTTTTACTTACATTATAGTTCAAAATTTGAATTAATAATATTAATTCTTTGCAGTCGAAGATTTTCTTGCTATGAAGAATTAGCAACGCGAAATTTTTCTACTAAACTAACAATATTTTATTTTATATTGTTACATTACCTTAAATTTATAGATTAACTATCGATCCTTTTAATTTTGCTAAATGATTAGAGTTATTTCTTGAGTATAAAAAGTTAATATTATTGTTACAAATATCTAATATGATATTTCTGCTTTTCCTAATTTCTTAACAGCGCCAAGATTAGAATAAGAACAGCAAGGGGCACTCAGCGACTTTCATTGAAATTGTTTATTTTGCAGTACCTGGGAATACTTCTTCATATCTCCATTTTTCTATCATTTTTAAAGAACGCCTATGATTAAAACAAACAAAATATTATTATGAAATTGTTATGGAATAATTGCAATAGAGTTTTCAATAAAATCACATATTCTGCATGGACCGTGACACAGTGATTTTTAATAAATATCTAATAATGTGTAAGAAAAAATTCTTTCTTATTTCTTCACATTCGAAAATTTGGTTACAAACGATCTGGTAGCAGAATTCTGATCAACAAATATTAAATATAAACTAAACACACGTATACTCATATCACACATGTAAACACGTGAACGTTAAGTATGACCCTTAATAGGAAGACGAAAGTTGGAATCATTATATCAAACGTAGTTCAACGTTCTCACTCTTCCTATCAACACCTAAATAATCCGGATTTGAACTAAAATGTACCGTATTTTGTGAAAATTCATCAATCACAGTGCAATTGTGCCTCCAAAGGCTAACCAAACGAATTTACCTGTTTCGGTTCCTGTGTGTAGGTAATATTTATTGTAATTAATTATTTAAAAATTTTATTTCGAATGGATATCGATTGTTTGTCATATATAGATATTATAAAATAAAATTAAATCGAAGTACATAGATGTTATAGGTAATTCTTAAATAAAGGATTCAAATTTAATAATTGCATAAAAAATTTAATTTGCTATCCATCTTTCCGAATAAATAACATTAAATGCTTATTTTAGTACTTCATATGTATTTTTATTAATATTAAACATTTAATAAGGTTTCATAATAACGAAATAAATAGTGTTACATAAAATGGCTATATATATAAATAAATAATGTATCTAATGAACAATTGTGATAAGCATATCTTATACGACGTATACAAAGTGTGTTTCGATGTATAGAAACCTACGGAATATGAGTAACGCTTTATACCACAACAAATTTTTCAATATTAAAATTAGTTACTAATACCACTAATTGATATATGATCAGCAATTAAGGCTACACATTACTATCACGATGTATGACGACGATACGAGTGAAGATGAAACAGGATTACAAACTCCGTCATACCTCAGGAAAGGATCTCGGTGCAGCCGTGGAACACCAGGTACACGAAGTATAACATACTAATATTCACCTTTGTACATTAAAAACGCCATAAATTTAAGCTACGAATTTAAATATTTATTTCTACTATTTTATTATCATTATTATGATATACAAATTATAGATATTTGTCAATATATTTATCTATTATATTGTACATCTGTAATTTAATTTTCACGAGTCTATAATCTTTTACTCGACATTCATTCGTGACATTGCAGGTACTCCATCGTCTATCACGAGTTCAATAATACTCGGCCAGATCCCAGATGAGGTACTCCGTGTTTGGAGTCAGTTACCAGAAGCAATACGTTTGGATCCTAGTTTGGCAGTTTTTCAAAGAGCCTATGATCGAATTCATCAAACTATAGAACGAAGGTTGATAGTTCTTAACCCCTTGCACTACGATTTAATTGTGAAAAATTATACATTGCAGTAGTATCTAATTTCAGTTCATTTATTCCAGCCATCATAAAATTAGATAAAAATATAATTACAGTCGTGCGATTAGTGTAGCTTATAATTGCGAAATTTTACATGAAGCACTCGTGACGCGTTAGACTCGTCATTGTAGTATAAAGGGTTAAATCAAAATAATTCTTTTAATAAATACTTTGATATATAATTGGATAATAATATGCCAGGAATTTTGTATTTAAAATCAAGTTATTTAATTGATTTATATTAAAAAATACGACGTATAACTGTTTCGAATAATATCTTTTTCAGACCTTCAGATATAATAAAGAAAGACTGTCTGGTAGTGAATATGTCTCTCGGGACGCAGCGTGCATTGCCACAAAGGTAAGTGACATGAGTTCTCTTCTTCTGTGTTTAAATTAAGGTTATAAAGTGTAATGCAAGTAGCAATAAATTTTGTCTACTTCATTATTTCCTTAACATTTTACTTCTTAAATGTGGAGTTGTAGTTATATGTACTTATAAATTTAAATGTCCATTTTTAGAAGATATCTTATATTAAGAATATTTACAATATGTATATTAATATTTAGTAAATTATTATTATAGATTATACGTAGTACTAAATTAGAATATTGTGAATTTTTATTTTTATCTAATATTATATATTGCATTAGAGACCAAAATGAAACAAGCGATGAGAATGGCCATTACAATATTACACAAGAATCCAATGAATCGAAACATAAACCGTTTTACCGCTATGTCAAGTTATTTTTGTTATGTTGCTGTTGGTTAATATTCACTGTAAGTTTATTCTATTGTACAATATTTATATTAAGCTCTTAGTTGAAAAATGTAGTAGCAGATAATTTTTAACTTATTGAAGGATATTAAAGAATAAAGAATACTTTAATTTATACATCAATGTTTGATTAAAAAAATATATTTACTATATTTCTTCATTTCAGTTAATATTGATAATTAAAAGCGAAAAAGTCGACGTATTGCATCAAATTTCAATTCCAAGCGGAAAAATAAAAGGTATCCTTTTATTTGTAATTATCTAAAAAATTTCTAAAATACGGAATAGATTATTATATTATCATTGAATGTCATTTTGAACTCGAATATAATCATAAATTATCTCTGAGTATTGAATACAGAATAAATTTTGCACTTTATTTAATTTCAGTACCATTTTTCAAATTTGAGAATAATGATCAATATCAAATTAATCCTTAAATTTTTATAGACTATAAAATGCATGGTGATACTTCTAATGAGCATATTAAAGTAATACTAGAAGGTTCATTACTTCCGACAATAAAACCAATGCAATTCAGCAATATATCCGATAGATATTTAATGATATGGTTAGAGCTATCTATGAATGAAGCAAACAATAGTGAACAATTCTTGTTTGGATATGAACAAACTAAGGTAAATTTTTTATTTAAAAAAGTGATTTGATATCATTAGAAATGTATAACAGTTAAGTATTACACACTGAAACACTTCTAATTTTTGTGAAATGATTTGCATAACTTATAATTGTAACAAACAATTTACTATTACTTTACTTTATAAATCACGCATCAAAACTTTATCTCAGTGATACACTAATAATAAAAAACCAATTTGTTCATATATTATCGCAAAAGAGGAATTTTAAAGATTTTAACACTTAAGATAGTTATTAAATAGAAGATAATTTATTCCGATTTATGAGCCATCATCTTTTGTAAATAGAATATAAGTGATGTATGGTTTCTACCAATACTTCCGGAAAATCTGATAGATAGTTTTCCCAGTCAGAGGCATCATAAAATTTTCGATTTGGAAAATATAGATGAAAGGTAAGTGTAATTATATTCCCTTATTTTATCCCTGAAATGACTATTTATATTCTCTGTACAGTATAAATAATAATCGAGTTTACAATTATCAGTACTAGAATATAGTATTCATTTCTATTGATTTACTATATCAATTTTTCTAACACTAAATATTTTATCTTTAGAATACTAGATCATAGCGACATATCGATCAAATTAAAAACAAATTTGGAATCCAGTTTTGCTATTTCTATCAGTTATGATTTTTCATCGATAGACAGGGATGTTGGCATAGTATATGCTGCAATAGTTTTACTTGGATTATATTTACTTATAATATTTGAGGTAATCTATCTCCTACATATTAAGCTAATATTAATATATTGTAACATAATTTTATAATTGTATAAACAAAGGAAACTAAATGTTGCTTAATCTTTACCAATAGTATTATATACCCTTCTCTAATTATTAACAATTAAACTAATTGTAAGATTTATTTATTATTCATTTATTTTGTAATAATTGATATTATTGTATACGAATATATTGGTTTCGTTCTTAAATGCAATGTTGCACCAATACTATTATTTCAAATGATTAAAATTTTATTTAGATCTATTATGCATGTGTTAATTCTTAATTGCAGATTGTACATAGAACTTTAGCTGCCATGTTAGCCTCGACTATGTCTATTGCAATTCTAGCAATTTTAAATGAGGTAAAATAAAAGGAAATAGAAATATTGTAGGAAAATTTGAATTCGATTATAAATAAAATTTTTCAGAGACCAACTATGAATGAGTTAATATCTTGGATAGATGTCGACACATTATTATTATTGTTCTCAATGATGATACTTGTCGGTGTAGTCGCCGAAACAGGTGTATTTGACTGGCTAGCAGTTTACGCTTATAAGGTAACATTTCCATCATTTTCTTAATAGAATTTGTTATATGATATATACATTGGTTCCATAGGAAAAGTTGTTCAATAATTGTATGAAATATTTTCTTATTTCAGAGTATTTAATACTCTCTTAATAATAGTAATAAAATATTAACAAAATATTATGAATTATAATAATGATCTATAAAATATTAATCAAATATTACTAATTATAATTATTACAATGATTTAATTATAATAATATCAGATATAAAAGATAATTTTATTCAATTTCTTTAGATAACCGGAGGAAAGATATGGCCACTCGTAGGTACATTATGTTTCTTTACATCGTTTATTTCATCATTCTTAGATAACGTTACAACAGTACTGTTAATGACTCCGGTAACCATCAGATTATGCGAAGTAATGGAAATAAATCCGGTGCCAATACTAACAGCAATGGTGGTATATTCTAATATCGGGGGTGCTATGACGCCAATAGGCGATCCGCCCAACGTAATTATTGCATCGAATCACGAAGTTATTAATAATGTAAGCGTTACTTCGAGTATTGATTTCTATAAATATTTCACTAAGGATTAAGTTAAATTAATATAATAATATTAATATTATATTTCACGATTAATCACTGGAGTGGTAAGATTATCATGTAAAGGTTTTGCGATGGAATGTAACAACATGAAATTATATAGAATAAATAAGTAAAATAATAACGTAATAGATTAATAACAATAATTAAACATTTTATGGACAGAATAATAATATAACAAAATAATATTGATATTAATTAAATTTTTCATTTACTTTTAATAGCAGGGGGTAGTGTATAGTGTTCAAATACTTGTTTGACAACGATCACATTGTATTCACGGAAACAATGTGCAATTGAAATATATTTAATCACAGTAGCAAATTTAATGAAGTCCAGTGGTATAATCTTTACTATGAAAACTTTTAGAATACTTGAATACAATATGTGGAATATTAATTAATATCCGAAATTATTTGAATATTTAATTAAACAAGAATTTAATTATGTTATTTTTTAATTATGTATGTATTATATAATATTCATTGTTATTTAGGGTATCGATTTTAGTACGTTCACAATACATATGAGCATTGGTGTTATACTTGTGATATTTGTAGTCTTTGCCCAGCTGAGATTTATCTTCCGAGATATAACTGCTCTTAAATTCGACGAACCGCCAGATGTTCAGGTATAAACATTTGCATTTATTATTTTAAATAAACAAGAGATAATAAATCTATAAATTTTTATATATAAAATATTCTAAACTTTGTACACGCTAGAATAATATCAAAATAAATTTTAACTATATTCCTTTAAATTGCAATTTGAAATATTCATCAATGTTTCATTTCGATATATTAAAAATTTTATGCTTCTAATAAATTCGAAAAATTAGTTACGAAACTCAATCCAACGATTTTAATATTTTGTTCTTTTGCCAAAAATAGCTATATTTCACCGTAATATAAACGAAGGCAGTGTAAAATAAGCGATAAAAACATTTCTTTAGGATTTTTCACTTATACCACTTTCATAATTACTAGCTCATATAAGAGCATATTGACAGAAATTCAGATCGATTAAACATGATAGATACATTTAACTTATCTCGTTCATTCGTTTTAGGAATTAAAGCATGAAATTGCCATTTGGCAAAGAGCTGCGGCAAGTTTGTCGAGTTACAGTAAAGACGAAAATGTAGTGAGAGAAACTTTGCTAAGAAAAGTTCAACGATTACTCTCCCTGTTAAAAAAGAAGCTATTGACAGGCAGCGTAGCTCTTGAAAGATATAAAACTACGCTCGAGGAGCTTCAAGAAAAGGTAAATATTAAATAGGTATCTGATTCTTATTAAACGTATCATTTTTATTCAATTTAAATTTTAGTCTTCTTCTCTGACATTTTTGATATTCTTAGAATCAATCAAAACAGTGCTTTAATTATAGTATCGTGAAATAAAATTTTGTTAAGTATATTATTCGATATCAGTGTTAGCAATAGTATTATTAATAGTAAGTATTAATATCGTATTTTTATTAAATTTATTTTTAATAACAATTTTGTGTTACAGTATCCTATTCGTGATAAATGGCTGTTGGTGAAGTCTGGATTCACGTTAATCTTTGTGATCACGCTATTTTTTCTACATAGCATTCCAGGTCTAAATTTATCGCTAGGTTGGACTGCTTTGTTAGGTGTTCTTTTATTGTTAATTCTAGCGGACAGCGAAGATTTGGATGGCCTTATGGCGCGCGTAGAATGGAGCACTTTGTTATTTTTCGCGTCGTTATTCGTTCTCATGGAGGTATAAAATAGCTAGAAATTGTCATTCACCATTACTACTACTCTTAAAATGTTCCATAAAAGATCATACGTAAAATATTTACACAATATCGTAATAATTTCTCCGGTTTCTACAAAAGAAGAAAAGACAAGTAAAAATTAGCGACAAAATGGAAAACATGATATTAACCCTTTGCATTATGATTTAATTTTGATAAATATATTGGAAAAGTATTTCATTTTAGTTAACCACTATACCTGAATTCCATTCGTAATAAAATTATAGAAAAACTTTAGAATTTCTCTAAATTTTATGCCTTAAAACACGTTAAATCTAATTTTGGTCGTATAATAAATGTAGCATATAATTCTAATATTCGGCCATAACTCAACACGAGTTGGATTCGTTATTGTAGTGCAGAGGGTTGAAAAGAATAAATTATTTAACATACATATTTTGTTGCAAGTTTCAACAATTGTCAATAGCATAAAAATTTATAAGAAATACATATTCAAAATTTTTACTCAAATTTTGTATGTGATGTGTTAGCTTTGAATTGAAATTATTATTTTAGGAATATGAGATTAAACAAAATTTGTTTGCTGCAGGCTTTATCGCGTCTAGGTCTACTCGCATGGATAGGAAAGCAAACGGAAAGGATAATTCTATCTGTAAACGAAGAGTCACGATTAGCTGTAGCTATATTACTATTACTTTGGGTATCAGCATTTGCAAGCGCGTTCGTGGATAATGTACCTTTGTCAACGATGATGATAAGAATCGTTACAGCTCTTGCACAAAATAATGAGCTGAAACTACCCCTGCAGCCCTTGGTGTGGGCTTTAGCTTTTGGTGCTTGTATGGGAGGTAAAAAAAACTTGAGAAATATTCTTTTAATCATAATCGTTATTTACACTGAGCTATAAAATTATTTAAAAATATGAACGTGTACATTAATAACGAAGGATGAGGTATCCAAATTATTTGGACGCCCTGTTTAAATAATTTATATACTTTTGTGCAAAAGTAAAAGTTAATGAGTGCGAATTTTAATGTGATTTATGTAGTTGAATAGATGGATATATTTGCAGGTAATGGAACTTTGATTGGAGCTACTGCTAATGTAGTTTGCGTAGGAGTTGCAGAGCAACATGGATATAAATTCTCTTTTATGCAATTTTTCAAGTAAGTGCACTTCGGTACAATTTTCGTATACAAATGATAAAACTTCTACTATATATATTATATATGTAAATTATTTAAAATAAGAATTAACCGAAGTTAGATTTATTAATAAGCATTTTTAATCTTTTTAATTCCATATGTAATTTTGTTACAAATTATGTAGTGATAGTAATGAGAAAATATCTAAGATAAATTTTGATCAGGTTATATTTTTTAAATAAATTAAAAGAATATTAATAATTTATGTAATGGCTAATTGTTTAAATTATTTTTGAATTTAGTTTCATTTATCAGTCATCGATCTTTAATTATGATTTTATTTAAAAAGTTAAAAATCAAAGATTCAAATCTTTCCATTTGCAAAATTATGTTTAATCTGAAAACATTTATACCTTTTAGATTTAAAACATAGTCAATATATTATATAAATGACATAATTTATTATAACATTTGGTATCCTCCATTATTATTACCTACTTATCAAATAGGTTTTAATTCGATAAATGTCGTAACATTCGTGATCATACAATTTTAATTGATTTCAACTGAATTATAATTTATTTTAATTCGCGAGATACGATAATAAATCATGTAATTATATAAAATAACTATTAGCTAATCCAATATTATATCAAATACGGTGTATTCTGAGTGAAATTCCGAATTCAGATCGGATAATAAATCACGAATAAATTAAGCTCATTTTCACAAGAGCTTGTCGCTAATTCATTCTTCGTGCTATAATAATTTAATTAATTCGACAAATAATTTTCAATGCGTTCATTTCAGGGTGGGCTTTCCAATTATGCTGACAAGTGCTATGACAATAACCATGTACTTAATGATCGCTCACGTCATTTTCGATTGGAACGGATAATGTAATTATTACAACCTATGTTTGGTATTCTCGTTCGGCAAAAAGTATTTAAATTATTCGAATCAAATTTGTCTATTCAGATTCTTTTGTAAAAATCGTTTAATATTACAAATGTAATATTGCAACATTGTACGAATTTAACTCCGTAAATAAGTTATTATTTTATAATAATAATTCATTGCATTTTTCATTTAACTTTTAACCCATTAATTCTAAACGTTATATCACAATATGTTCCATTCATGCGTTTATTGATTGAAATAATCCTAATTGCATTAACAAATTTCAACTTTGTAAACACAAAACTTACTCGAGTATAAACAAAAGTATCAATGGCAAAAAATATTTTATATTACATGATCTACAATCAATCATGTTATTGAATAAAATAGTCGAGAACTTCTATCAGAAAATGTTTATTGATATCAATCGAATACACTTAATTAAAAAATAAATTACGTAATACTTATAGATACTTATAGAATATGTCATATTCAACGATAATATACACGCTGTTCCGACTTAATCATTTCATGTGATAACAAATCACCAACTCTTTATCGTCCTCCTATATGAAAATATTATATGTTTAATCATTGTACAAAACGTCATGTTTTCTTCAATTCAAACAAGTTATAAGCTGTAAGAGAAATGTTCGCATATTTAAATTCTTAATGCTGTCAAGTAGTCATACTGAATAATGAATAATACGAATGCATATATTAACATCCATGAGTAATTTCTCTATTTTCGCTTCAACTATTTATTTCGTTATATTCTATGTATAAAAATTCAATCCTTCAAATCAAGGGGTGAAAATCTAACAAATTACAGTAACTGTTTAATTATAACAAATTAAACTAATCTTAAATAAACATTAGACAATACAATATAATAAACTACATTAAAACAATACAATATGTCCTAATTTATGTTATCATGATTTCCACATCTATTTAATTTCCCTAATTTTTAGTGTATAAATACGAAACAGAAATTCATAAAAGAAGTATCATATTTCAATACATCTATATCTTCCCTTGATTTCGTAAATACTAAAACTGACTAATATTAACAACTTACTAATATCTTTTGTAAAATATTTTTTGACTCATTGTTTAAACAAAATATATATAAAAAAAAATTAAACTGTAAGGAATTTTACATATCACTCATTCTCTATAATTAAATATTCTAATATAGCGTCTCGAATTCTATCGATAGTTTTGCTAATAATCTTGAACTTTAGCGGCAAGAAATATGGTAATCTTTATGGGATATAAACGAGGAACGTAAAATACTTCGTTTATGAATACCATTCTAAATTTTATAACAAAGTAAAATTATAATTATAGATATTACGTAGCTATAGGAGTTAATGTTAGGATCGACGTAGATTTCCAGTTGAATATTTAAATACTAATATTTAAATTTTACGTAAATGATATGGAACTTTTAACTTTTCGTGTTTCCCCAAACTCATCTATTGATTTTTAAAAATACGTTCACTATCAAACTTAAAATATGTTACATGTCCGCTAATATTTTATATTATAAATAAAACATAAATACATTACCTTAAACATCACTATGTATATGAAGTTGATTACATACACGATTATTATTTATCCTTATGTCAATCGTAATATAATAATTACACGCATTATTTTCTAAACAGTAACTTGTGATCAAAAAAATCAAAGATAAACTTAATTAAAAAATAATTATAGATAGCGATAATAATATTAAATTGATCAAACGTTTGTTTCTTTTTCAAGTATTCTTTCCAAATTCAATGGACGCATATAATGTTTTTATATTTTCGTTTTTTTATGGTGCTTATAATGAATTTAGAACTGTTAACATTTTGTAATCATTATCTTAATCATTCTACATGTAAAATATTTATTTGGATTTATCTTAAGTTAAATCCAAAAACTGCAATAAATCAATTTATTTGTAAAATATAATGTTGAAATTTAAAATACACTTCTACAATCGCAAAACAACTAAAATGTAATTAATTGTTCTCATAGAAAAATGGTGTTTTTAAAAAAGAAAATTTGGTTCAAACAAAATTCATTTTAATTCATATGAATTAATTCTTTCGTTTTATTATATCTAATAGATTTTTAAAATGCAATATAGAACACAAATTCTTCGAAAAACACCATTTTAACATAATTTAACTTAACAGAGTTTAAAATTTGTTCAGAATTATTATAATTTGTTCGGTCAATGATATATTTAGGATAATTAAAATTTTCTCAATAATTGAAGATAATTTAAATAGAAATAGTACATCACCCATTATATGAATCATATAAAAAAATTAAAATTTTATGCTAAATGTATCTATAACGAATTACAATTCTACACAAACGCACACATATCACGCATTAAACAAAATAATATTATTTGTATAGAATGTTTAACTATCGTTTGTTGTTCAAATAAAGGGTTTACAAAAATATTAATATTCGGTATTTATATTTATTGGTCTATCGAATTAACTACGCTTTTAATAATTTTTGTGACTTTAAATTTTCAAGCGTATCGTACGCATTAGTAATCTTTTAAATATAAATATAAACTAATTATTTAGTTCTGATTATTAAAATAATTCAATGTTACAATTTTCCAAGTATCGTTAATTCTATTCCATTTTCTTCAGAATAATGAAATTACTTTATAATGCATTGAATATTTCATTAACTATTTATAAATACATTTAACATTACATTAATCTACGACGAACGTCACAAATATTTTAAATTCATTGTGACTAATAGAAGAATGTAAAATACATGTTACATTCTTAATACTAATGATCATTATAATTTTATTCGATTTTTTGAAATATTTATTTAATGTGATATATATCACCCTAGATCACGCAAAAAATATTTACAATTGTAATCTAAAGAAATTAGTGAATCACAGCAACAAATGGGACATGTTTATTATGTACGCAGTTATGTATTTTCGTATGGATAAGTATTACTTATATGGATAAATATTATTAAACGGCATGATTATGTCACTGTAACATAAAACACAGTGAATGAAATCAGATTTAATATCTCTTTAAAACCTTCAAATTCAGTTTTATATTTGTTGATAAAACATGGAAAACATTAAGTATTATGATATTTATTTTATAAAATATCAATTTATGCTGATTAATTTTGTATAAAGATGTTACAATTTTTTATTCTCAGTGTAATAAAATGTCTCGAAGTCTCGTATTATCAAGAAACGTAAATACTTGTGCCCTTCTACTGTAGAATTTACGAAACTGATTATAGTGTTTACAGTAGATATGAAAGCACTAAGCAATTATTTTGGCATGGTCGATTTGGTAAATCTCGGAATGCCTGAAGCAGCACACGTATATTTTCTGTTCGAAATATATTATTTTGTCAGTACATAATACACTCGAAAATATAAATTCTTATAAAATATGTATAAACAGTATTACACTTACTATACATTACAAAATAATATATGACTTACCTAAAGTGTTGAATATTAATAAGTTGTTTATAAACTACCGTTTATAACGTCCTTTTATTAACTGCAAAGCTTTCGCCATCAGTGGTGCTTTTGTTTTCTTCACTATATGAGTTAGCAATAAAACAGAGAAGTTTGTATTAACATAATAAAATATTAGTGAATATTGTTCTTACTAAAAACAAATCGGTTCAATAATTATATGCTGAATAATAATTTCCTACACATTTTCCACAGAAAATGGTAAATTTTTAAAAATTGAAATCAGTTTCAGTGTATGATAAAAAAAGTTTAAAATACGTGAACAATTTATATCGTATATAAAAATATTTACATGGCTTTGTACGGGATATAGGTGGTGCCGGAACAGAAATATTTGTAGCAGCTGTAGGACCGCCCCCACTAATTAATTTCTTCTTTATACTAGATGCAGTGTTAGGTACAGAATTTGCAGTACCATATTTAGCTTGTTTCTTAAGGATATTTCTCGGAGGTTTGACAACATTATCTACATATGCAAGTTTGGTAGATCTTACCGGAACTGACTTGTCTATCGATTGTTTTATATTAGCAGTAAGCGTTTTTAATTTTGCTTCTCTTTCATCTAAACATCTCTGTTGAGTAATAACAAATATCAAATAATATTTATGGAATAAAGTAAGGTAACATAAATAATGCAAATTATTTATTAAAAATTTACTCACCATGTACATTTCACGCCACGTTTCCATTTCTTCCCTTTGTTTATTTCTGAATTCACGATTGCAATGATAATGCCACAATTCATCTGTATCTTCAATTAAATAGGGATTATAATGTTCCAGCATAAATAACTGATCTGCTGTTGCACGTTCCAGAACAGGCTTTATTATATCAAAAGGCACACCACCCGTAAATTCTAGTGCTACATATAAAAAATAAGAAAAATACTTGTAAATACATTTAAAGTATGATTAATCATATAATTATCATCAATATACTACTATATAGAAATGTTTATAAACGAAAATCTATTAATGTAATAATTTTTCAATTCATAAAAATTTATTTGTTATTTAATAAATCACTCATAAATAACTTACCATCAATATTCTCTATCAATACCCTTGTACATATCTCAAATAAAGTTGGTACACTTGTATATCCAGACTTATTTCCTGAATATACTTTTGTCCTATAGAAAAAAAATTACAATTACAAATAAAAAATCAACATTTTATTTTCATATGTCAATTGTCATAGTAATTGGAGTCATACCTTTGATTTTTAACATACATTACATCTGTAAGAACTTTATCTTCTTCTTTGCGATGAACAGGGTTAATATATGGCAATGGTTTATAATTGGGGCTAATTTCAGGTAATGTAGATGCTAAATCTACACTTAATGGTTCTAATTTTACACTTGATGTTAAAAGGGATGGCGTCTGCAATAAAGAATGTGTATTATACTCAAATTTTCATTAAGTATTTATTAGGTCAATTCACAAATGTGGTTTTTGTTAGTACATAATTAAATGAAAATGAATAACTATCTATTGATACTTTATAAATTATACATTTCCATTCATTCTCTAGAATTGTATGATATCTTACAATTTAAGTTTCTATTTTCTTGTTATAAAACTACTGTTGTGACAAATTTCATTATTTTAAACACAACTCTCAGAAAAACCACATTACTTATAGGATGACCTAATAACAATTCTGCTATATACTTATTTATAGAGATTTCTTATTTATTTCTTTTAATGATTAAATACTGTAATTTAAGTAATGTAAAATCTTATCAATTATATAACATAAATTACTTGTAAAGTATCACTTGTTGATTCAATTTTCACTGCTGTCTTTTTGTTACTTGAAGTTGATTGTTCTATTTTGATCATTTTTGCTGCACTTGTATTGGGAGAATTATTATTACGTTTTTTAGACGGTTGAGCCATTGTACACATACCCAATGCTTCTGCAAAACTGGCACCTATATATAAGAAAACACTATTCACAATTTATCCAATACAGCAATAAAAGGAAGGAGTACTTATTATACCATTAATAATATTAGCAACAACAACAAAAATTAGTATTTCATTAATATCCAATTTTATAAAAATAGATGTTTTAAAAATTATAAAATAAATTCGAAACTGAAAAGTGTATTTTACGTTAACATATATCGAGATATCAATTAAGTAATAAATAAATTCTCAAGATTAATAAACTTAGTCAATATCCTATCCTATGTTTTCATTCTATACTTATAAAACACAAATTGAATGAAATGTGGGATGAAATAATATAGTAACTGTTTTATAATGCCTAAATAATAATCGTGACGATTGCTACAATATTATTGACGATTCATGCAGATATAGTTATTATTCTTAATATTGATAACATCAATTAACTTGATTATTATGAAAAATGACTATAAAAATTGTCCATAAACGATTAATACTTTAGACAACATAGAACATGTTAGACAATATGACAGAAGCACATAATAAATAATAAGATATAAAATTTATTTAATATTTTTAAATAGAAAAATAAACAAATCTTACAAACATCTTTTTTAGTTATGCTAAAAGAAAACATATTTATAAACATATATTTATAAACTAACCAGAGTGGCAATCTATTCCTTCATCACCATTAATTTCTTGCTTAATTTTTATAAGGTCCTTTGATTCCTTTGATCCATGTTTCAAATGTTTTGAATCTTTACTGCTCTTAGTTTCATGTTTACTTTTTCCTTCTTTATGATCCTTTTTTTTACTCCTATCTTTACTTTTATCATGATGCTTATCGGTAGAGGAACTATTATGATGCTTTGATTCTGAAGATTCTTTATTAGAATGATCACTTCGTTTAGTTTCATCTTTATTATGATTTGTATGTGTCTCAGTTTTATGTCTCTGTTTCTCTCCGCTATCTTTTAATTTACTACTAGATGAATCAGTCCTATATTTGCTTGAACTGCCCTTTGGTTTTTCTTGAGACTCTTTTTTTTCACTTTTAATTTCGTTTTTAGTTAATACATCTTTATCCTTGGGCTCTTCTTTTATTTTGATTGTATTTAATATAGTAGTATTATGCTTTTCAAAATTAGAAGATACATGAAGTTTGCCTTCATCACTTTCACTGTCTGAATTTTTTCTTCGTTTATTTTCCTTCTTGATAATATTTGAATCATCAGTTTTCCGTTTTCTTTGAACTTCTTCACTGCTTTTAGACACATTACTGCTATCCACAGATTTACTAGAATATTTTTCAGTGTTGTCAACTTTACTATGATTATGATGTTTGGAACCATGAATTTCATCCTTTTTAGAGGCACTTTTAGAATCTTTTAAAGATTTTTTGTCACTTTTTGGGTCATGTTTATGGCTATGTTTAGATTTATCATACTTTTTTTGTTTCTCCAAATCATTTCCTGAACTTTTTGAAATGTCATTATTACTTCTTGACTGAGATTCAACGGGTTTCAATTTTGATTCATGTTTGGAAGGATATTTATTATTGTGCGATGTATGTGAGACCTCACTTTTTTCTGATCTATGCCTATGCATGTGCTTTCCATTTCCTTCATTTTTAAGCCTAAAAAATCAGTTAAATGCATATTTATTTAGTAGAAATATACATACATACATTTATCTAAAATGTAAATGTATATTTGTTGGAAAGAAAAGAATATTGTCATGTTTGATATTATAGTAAATATCCGATATCATACAAAATAATAACTTAGAATCAAACATTCTTCTGTTTAATGAATATATGTATAAATGATTATAGTGAAAATAACTTTATTTTAAATACAATATAAGTTTATATATGAAATCTTATTATACCTTGCAGAATTCTCTTCAGATTTTGGAGATTCACGATTATCACTATAGCTCTCAGATGCATCAGGGACACATGTTTCATCTTCATCTTCTCCTTCGCTAGTTTCTTCACTAGCAACCATTGCTTTCCATTTTGCAACAAGTGCTTTAGCCGCATCTCCTATACCACCATCATATTTTCTTAAAGCATTTACTGTACGCCCTACACCAGTTTCTTGAAGATGCTGTACCGTTACTGGCAGATTAGATAACTTTGAAATACAATGGAGTATCTGTAATATATACAAATATATTATAATTAGATGTTAATTCTAATGTGCTGTTACTCCAAATAATTATGAATAAAGAACATTAAAGGTGGAAATATTATAACCAAAAAAGGCATAATACATGAAATAGTAAAATTTTTATTATAAGAATAATATACAAATATATAAATGCTAAAACAGACAAAATGTAAAATTAACATGCAAAAGTCATGTATTTTCCTAGAAGGGTTGGTTTTCCATGAGGAATGAAGCAAAATGAAAATACAGTAGAACAAATATAACAAAAATTTATTTTTATTCAGAAACGGATATATGTATATGTATTTTTTTATTTTCTTTTTTTTGTATTTTATAATATACGCGTAAAATTTATAACAATAATGTATGTTTTATATATCTCCATAATTGTGTTTAGATTTCGTCGTGAGGTTATACCTTAACGACATTAATAAGACTGCATCATCGTACACGCTGCTATAATTTGGAAGAATACAGATATTAGGGCTATAATACATACTCTATCTTCATTGTCATCACATTTTTCAATATTTCGCTGATAATGCTTAATTTTATCCACTACAGACATTATTGCGGCTGCCAGCTGCTAACTGCTGTTGTCCCGTATTCATGGGCAGATGGATACGACGGATGAGAAAAATAATTTGAATAGAATATTAGTTTTTCTGGTCACGCAGTAAATTCCATGGATTAAATTATATTTAGAATAAGATTATAATATAGAAAAGACTATTAGGTATGATATTAACTAGAAATGATTATCGATTATTTTTACAGAACTGAATACGATTTTCAATACCAGTTAATATTGATAACATGAAATGAAAAATGAAACTCTATTTTAGAAGCAAAATTCTTCAGTCTATAGTAATAATAACAACTGCGAAAATCATATATAGTGTAATTACGTAAAATTACAAAATTTTGCTTTCAGTCACATCGACGTGTTTGACGCAACGATTCCTAATGGTATGAGCTTAATGCGAATACACGTGTGCAGTAGATACGACGTATAGTCACGTCATGAAATTCTTCCTTACATTCTGTAATAAATTCATATGAGTAAAAAGACAGGTTTGAGAATATAATATTTAATATCTCAAGTTGTAAAATTTTTATGTTTAAATTTAGTTAATTAATTTTACAATCACATATAGTTTATATGATAAAAATTCTATGGTAAATAAGAATTAAACTTAAATTCCTTATACGTCATTATTTATTGATTATAGAAATCGAAAAATTGATCAAAAATTAATATTAAATTTAATTCATAATTAGAGTAAGTAAACTAATAGAACTCCTTTTATTTGTTAATAAAATTATAAATGAGTTCTGTAATAAAATCTTCATGAATATAGGAATTTAACGAAATTGATGAAAATTATAGAAATATTAAGATATAGATTAGATACAGCTATGCTATGATGTGTTCCATAATTCGTTTCGATGATAAGTATACTTTATCACAAAAATTTAGACCATAGATATATAGATGAAGTAAAGGATGAGTCTAATATTATACGACCTTCCGTGGCCCAACCTGAACTGCCTTACCGACTTAAAGGTGTGAGATTGATTATAGTGACATCTATATAAGAACAATGGACACTTAAAGGACTATTACATCAAATGGTATTGAAAATAGAGAGAAATTATTTCCCAGAATTGTTTTGTTGTCATAACTGATATGCTTAGCTTATAATGATATAAACGGAATAAAATATGTTGTTTTGAACATAGAGATATAGAATCACATATATATATATATATTAATAGAATAAACATATGATAATACAGGAGTATATTTCATTTATCGATAATTTGAATTATCAAAAATTTCTATCAAATTACCAGAAGATGGAACAGTAATATTGGTTTTGGAAACATGAAATATAGAAAACACGATATAATATGAAATTAGTATTTTTTAACTAATGTAAAATTGTCTTCACAAAATATTCGTCGTAATGAAATTAGTTACAAAAGATTTCAATATTTTAATTTCATATGGAAAAAAATATTAAACTCGCAAATAAATGACACCTTTTTATGAATCAGTAAAAAAATTTTTAAATTCTAGAGTTTTATTAGAGTAATGTTTCAATTATGATTGAAAATGATCTTTTAATTCTTTTCATTTAACTTAACTTATTTAAAATTTTAATTTAACATTTTCTTTTTTTAATTTAGGTGAAAATGCCCCTCGATACATATTTGTATATATTTACTTTTACTACGTTATAATACTAAAAAGTCATTATCTAATACGTAGTAATAAAAATAAACTCACAAAACACTAGTTATGAATAAATTATTATGAAAGTACTTTTTAGGATTATTATTAATCATAGGTCAATTTCTAGTCAAATAAAATATGGCCCAAAATTTAGCAGGTCAGTTTTCAAAAAGTAGGTTACCATTTGGGATCAAGATTATACAATGTAAAAACATGCGTAGATGATCTTATACTTTCACTTTTTTAATTGGATTAAAAATGGAAAGTCATATACCCAATAATAAACGACATGATAAAATTGGAAGAAAAAAAGAACAATGTCTACAGGGATTACTTGGTAAAAAAGATTCAGATGACAATTTGATCTTAATATAAAATGAATTTTATAAAATATCGAAATATGGAAAACTAAGATGCAAGGTCAAGATGCAAGTAGTAATTAAAAATTTATACTGTTTTTATTTTATTAAAAATTTTACCATTCACTGATTTAATGTCTATAACATGACAAAATGTAATAAATATGATTAATTATGCTTCCCCTGTGATAGTCATGTTTTTTACTATTTTCTTATATATATAATAACAATATTAACAATATAATTTTGCTGTAAATAAAATTAATAGGAGAGTAAATATATACAAAAAATATCTATCTTTAAGAAATTGTACTTGCAAGTACATTGTCGTATTTATGAAAAGTGCAAGATCCTGGAAAGATAACATTTGTTACACTATTTAAGCAGGAGCTATGATACAGCCATAATTGCACGATACACCCTCTACTCACGCTTCGTAACTATAGCGATACAGTATGAGATAATTTTTAAAAAGCGCTATGGGACTCATTAATTAATAAATCGCCTTTAATCGAACGCCCTTATTTTTGAACTTCTGGAACACAGGGAAGGAATGAAAACGATTTCACTTTCATGATAATTTTTTTTCTGCAATAATCACGAATAAATTTGAGCAACTAAAACATTTTTAATTGATTGCTTAACGTGAAGCACGCGAAGCGAGAAAGTTAGGGGGTTAACCAACTTATTTTTTGTTGCTTTAAAAACATTGCTAGTTTCCCAATTTTGCAGTGTTTCGAATTTTGTAACATTTTCTTATATCTTGCTTCAATAATCTCAGTAATTATATGGTATATTTTTGTGGTAATTTATCAAACCCAAATTCTTCGTGACGTCGCATGTGTGCGCGCTTGTAAAGGATAGTCACGTAAAGTATTTATTAATGCAAAAAACAGAAGCATGACGATGTAAATATATAAAAATATTGCAATGTACATCTGTAAATATATCTGTAAATTAATTAATTAATTTAATGAAATATTTTTATTAATTTTAGTAATTAATATTTTAACATTATAATAATATTTTAATATTCAAAGTATACTTGAAACGAATTATAGAGGGATGGAAATATGTTATTTATACATATTTTTAAAAGTTTAAAATTAAAGAAAAATTTTAATTACCGGTAAACTATAAACGTGGTAGAAAAATTTAGTTTATATTATATAATTTATCATGATATAATACATAATATCATAGTTCAATATCGTAAACTATCTCACATATTATTCGTATTACTTATTTCTTTTGCTACGCAGTCCATAAATTAAGTCGGTTCATACCCAGATATTATTACAGATGCAAATTAAGCACGCTATCTGAACATTTTATTACATTAACAGAGAGAAGGATTACCTGCAACCTAATTTATTTATGCAATATAGCCATCAATTAGTTAGTATCTATACAATTAAAATAGAAATGGTTCCTGTATTTTATACTTACAATCTAGAAAACAACAAAATAAAACTAAAATATAAGAATTTACAACAAGCTATCATTATTAATAGAAAAACGATTCATGAGACTCTTTTTGATAATTATTTGATGTAAACTTTGATATGTCGAACAAGTTACACTACTAGATCATTAATGATCCTACTCTGAAACAGTCAATTTATTCATAACAGTAATTGCACCTAACGTATATTTCTACAAATTAATAAATAAATAGGCAAATAATTTATTCCACTTATTTGTACATAACAAATAGTTAACGTTTTCGTTATTATCATTCTTTACTTAATTTTTTATATTAATTTCTAGCAAGCATATTATTACATTTCATGTACTGTACGAAGTCATATATCTTTCGTTTAAGAGTTGCTTGATATATTTAGCAGTATAATGAATCAGCTTGTATATATTTGTTATATAGTATAATATTGTGGACATACATCGTGAAGTATTTTAGGAAATCGTGATGCGTTTACATAAAGCAAGAGCAATTATTTCTCTAACCGTCACTTTTCGTTGTTCGCATTCTCTATATTTGTATTTTATAATCTTGTCCTGCAACTTTCCCGTTTGTATTCCAAAAAAAGAATACGGATAAAATTTTACAGGAATATTGGAATTTAGCACAGTACACTGCACTCGATGCGGATGAATTAAACAGAAAGTTACATGACTGAAGTGGTTAATTAAATTATGTATCCTATAAGTAAATAATTCAAACTTTAACATCAACTTGATAATATAATGATAATGATAATGATTGTTACCGTCCTCTTATCATAATTATCCTAGTCTACTAACCCAGATCTAGATTTATGGAACAGAATTTGATCAATTATACTCGATTTTAGTACACCCCATTAATTCTAATATATTTGTCATTATACATATCTTTAATTATTATTATGTATTAAGTTGGCTAGCAAATAAACACGGTAGATAGAATTTTAATTTATACCAAATAGATATTGTACTGGAAGTTGTTATTTGTATTTTCTTGACTGAAGAAAAAGATATTTATTATATATTGAAATGTACTATGTGATCTAATTATATGGTTATAATAGGGCTGAAAAATTGAAAAACTCCCGATATGACGCAAATCTCTACAAGAAGATACTCGCTTTAACCGTATAAAAAATTATTGATGTACTTAATAAACATATTTCTTAAGATTATAAAACATATCCTTATTGTACACCTCGATTTCGCACATTTCCCCATATTTTTGGAACCTAATCACCGCGTATATAATAATATACTATTTAAATCATTTTTCCGACTCCAATAGATAAAACAATATTCTCCCATACCAAGAACACCAAACTACAGAGACCTAATTGCTGTCAAACTACTTTCGAAAGTAATATATTAAGCACGAATCAGTCACTGAAATACGTCGAATGTTACTGGAACCACAAAGTGTCAAATAAATGAACAGTTTCGAAAGATTTGAGTAACCCTTGCAAACGTTTTCACTGTTTACTTAGCGAAGTGTAAAAGACAGCTAGCGCCACCAAAGAGAGAAACAACTAGCGCCATTTATGGAACCGCGGCGCGACCTTCCAAGGGTTGAAACGGCGTTTGAAAGTATGTAATCCACGGCCGCTATGTAACATTAGCCTGCATAGGCCTCGTGCTCACGATATGCAAGATTTTCACTCCACTGTGAGTTGCTCGAAGTATACTTAGTCAGCAGAGTCGAACGAAGGCGGATCATTCATTTTGCGAAAGAGAATCCGGTGAGAGACGAAGTTCGATGCGCGGTGTGTAGATAGTTCTCGGAACGTACGTTTACCTGCTGTCCCTACCACTTTCTTTGGCCGGCTGGTGGGCACCGCGTTCTCGTTACCGTGGTCCACGCTGCACTACTGTTCCACTATCTCCTCATTCACCTCGCGATTCGACAAGATCCAAGAACACGCGCGTATCTGGAGAATACTTCGAGTTGTCAAATCCTCGGGTACTAGCGACCCTTCCTTAGACTCCGTGTCTTCTCACTCTTCGTTCGTGAACCCCAAACGGGAAATCCTGTGCCTCTATCAGGATTCTTCGAACGTTCGTTTCGTGACTGTGACGGATTTAACCAAGAGTCTGCCAGTTCGATACAGAAAGAAGAATAAGAATTTGGAATCTTCGTACTTAGCGCTACTAATCTCGCGGATGAAGTGTCCAAGCTTCGAACAGTCTAAGGACAGCATTAGACTCTACGAAGACACTGTCTCCTTCTTCGTTAACATTGATCATTGTTTGAATGTCACGCGCACTTGCCACTTGGAGTGTCAAGTGTAATTGCAGCCTGCCGAGAGTTTAATTTGACAATCGAGTTTTATAAGATCGTTTGACAGGGTTGTTAAAGAGTATCGTCGTTGGTCGACGTTCAGACAGGAAGGACTGGAGTGAATTCGACGGTGATTAGTCAGTGACTATCGCCAGTAAATGAAGGAACGATCGAACGGTAACGTGATAACCGTGTTTGGTTGGCACGTGGAAAGTAGGCGAATCCGTTGAAGAGGAAATCCTACAGGGGACATCACGGTCTAAATGAGTATGACCGACAAATACACGCGTGTAGTACCTTGGCGATAGAGAAACCTGCCTTGTATGGTTCTCTTCCTTCCATTCGCTCTCCTCCACGAAACTGTTGTGCGTTACATAAAGAGGGATTTTACTGGCCAGTTAATGAACCCGGTTGTGCGCGCATATAGGGAACGTCTGTCGGCGACCTTACGTAAGTAAATATGAATAATTTGTTATCTGAAAGTGGCAAAGTATGTGGATGTTACGCAGAATAGGGCAAAGACTATGGTAGCGAATGGTATACCATGGCTCACGACTGACAGTCGTATCTTACGTCTTTATCCTCTTTAACCGAGTGCAGTTGGAAGTTTCAGTTTCTCGCTAGAAGCCCGGAATTACGCGCTGCTATTCCGTCATGATACTGTTGGCAGTTATATTTTTTCTTTTTTTATGAGAAAATTGCAATTCCGATAATTCTTCGTTTTCAATTGGCTATTTGCATGTGTCCTTGTGTTCATAGTATTGGGCAAATGGATACTTTTGTTTCGTCGATGAATCGTTGGCTCTTCGTGTGTGAATGGAAATTGAAAAGAAAGCTGTGATTACATCGAATAATCGTCTACCATTTATATAACGTAATGTAGCTTTTTTCCTTAAGAATGACATACATAAAATTTTTTAAAGGAGGTTTGATCCTGAGGCAATGAGAAAGAAGATCACGTAACTGGTTACTTCTTTCATACTGAATACTCAATGAACCGAACTATATAAAAACAGAGAAATTTTCAACTGAAGAGTTTAACGACATGGTACTTTCTTAAAATTTAGATATTTTATATAATATATATATACACATCTTTCTGAAATGTTTACAAAAAATACTCGCAATGAATATTAAATGATATGCTATTACTTTTCAACATCGATTAAATTTGTCGAAGAATATCATTTTTAGAAAAAATATTCATAACGAGCACTAAATTATATGCAATTACTGTATTATATAAATAAAATCTTTCGTAACACATAATTTCTGAAACGCACGTACGAAATATTCATAAGGAATACTCTAAATGATATATAATTACTCGTTGACATAAATTAAATAAAAATATAAATCTAGAATATATGTAGAACAAGGATTTTACATTTGTAGAAGGTAATTATAAATTTATCAGCATTTAAATTATTTCAAATCACAAACTTCGACTTGTTTCGTATAATCACGGTTTAACTTAAATATTATCTACCGTGCAGAAACCATCTTATGCACGAAAAAACCCTGAACGTTTCCTAGGAAAGATCATCGTGCGTTATTCGCTAAATGACACAATTATACGCCATGTGTTTTTATTGCAATCAACCACGCATGAAATTAGACTTCTCACGAGTGAAAATCTTCGTTATAGTTCAAACATTCCTACGATCTTCTTTTGGAAACTATAAGTTTCGGCATAATCATTAATATTACGCTGCATTCGCGCTGGATGCAAGAGGATATCGAGAGACAACCTTTCACCTTAACGAATGCCGTAAAGTTCAAGTAAAATTTCTTTCCGTTTGCAAGGTGTTTAGTTTCTTTTTTAGGATGGCGTTAAACTGCCATTCGGGAATTCCTAAGAGGACGTCCTAACTCAAATAACGACATCTCGGAATTTGTTAGATCATCGTTAACGTGATCCAATACGTGGGAATAGCTGACTCATGCGATTCGAACACGTGAATTATAACTTCTCGACTATTTGGATTGGATATAGAAATTGAAACCTATCTTCCTAATCAATAGCGTATTAATCGTGACAATATTCTCGACTTACAAACATTGGAATAGCTTGAAATTGGGACTACTAACCTGTAATAAGATGCAAATGTGGTGTACATATCTAGTCGATAATAATTAACGTGGCGTTGTAGAAATGAATAAAAATAAATTATGTATAGGGTTATTAATTAGGTTAGTTGTGTAAGATGGAATAAATTGTTAGGAATTGTAGTCATAGAAAGAAAAAGAAATTGATTTGCAACAGTTATTTGGTAATATAAATAACTTCTTTTGGTAAGCATAAAGGTGAGAGTAATATTAAAAATAAATAAATTTTTTCTACATGAAACCTCGTACTTTTGTATCTACAATTCAGTGTTCCATATACAAGGCTGACCTATTTAACTGGAAATGGTAGAATATTTCGCGAAGGATCAAAGTTATAGAAAGAATATTTTTGTAAATTCTTTTGTTCATGATAAAACGACATACTACGTAATACTTGAAAAACTTAACTTAACTTTCATATTTTTGCTATCACTATGCCTACAGTAAAATTATTTACATTATCGAATGTTCTTTTCTATACCAAACAACTTTCGCCAGAATATTTTTTTGATAATTTTAGTTTTCGTGAAATGTTCCATAGTTTCCGGTTAATACCCTGTATAATTGCATTTGTATTCCATTAGATTAACATTAATTTTGCCAAAAGCTACATATTTTCAGTAATTTCAAGAATAGAAAGTGTGAAATAAATTATACCGACTCGCACAATAATTCTAATGTTAAACGATAAATAGATAACAATTCAGGCGTGGCAGTGCTATAATTCAAGCTAAACGAACGTATACTCTTAACGAATTGCATTTTTTTGAAAGTATAATCGTAGATTAATTGAACTTTCCTACGTATTCTATACTTAGCATTAGAATAGCCCATAATTTGCCGAGAAAGCAAAACGCATTGTTAAGACAGATTTAATATTCACGGTTTATTACACAAGCAGCGTAACACGTACTAGAAGGAAAGAAGAATGAAGAAAATTTAATTTGATACAAATATATCAAATACATCAATGCAAAGATAACATACGATTATTAAGACTTCATTAATACCATTTTAACTAATAACGGAATATCATAATTCACGGTATAATTTAGCAGTTTGTCAAATGAAAGTGAAATATCTTCATCCTTGTTGCATTCTTTAGCATTTAAACACCTATCCTAAGCAAAAGATGATTAATTGGTGAGAAACGTGGTAAAAGATTGATTAAAATAATAATTCTTTCAAATATTGTAATTATGTGAAAATATTAATTAATCACATTTAACGTAACATTACCCGAATTAACTTCTTACATTTTTATCTTTTTTCCCGAATATCATTACTTAATTATTTACTTAAATTAATTAGATGTTGAGGTTCGATAGTTTACATGTCACTTTCCTCGTAATGATAGTCCATTGTGTTTACAAAACTGTCAACGTGAACTTTCTTTCTCACTGTATCACTCTAGCATGTTTTGCTCTATTATTACACGGTACGTTGACTTGAACTACTGAAACTATTATTTGATATTTAAGGTCAAGTTCAGCTACTTCGCAACGTTGATCAGTCACTGTCAAAACGTTTAAACGTTGTTGAACAGACTGTCATTGAGTCCAAACTAGGCAGATCCCTTTTGATAAACATATGAATTCCCAGAATATATATTTTTTAGAGTTACACACAGTGATAGATTTTTCAACGATAATTGACAATATCTTTGCGATAAAGTTTTGATAGTAGCATATAATTAATAATATTAATTAGAATTTTCTTTAATAATAATATTAAAGAAAATTTTCCTTGATAAGGAACAAATTTGGAAGCAATAAATTCGATCCAATTACGCGGTTCACCCTGGAAATTATTTTGCATCGATGTTACTTTCTCTTTATAAACACATCAACTATTTAAGCACTTGATCATATTCGGAGCCTTTCGAAAATAAATTAGAAGAAAGTGCTTACTTTTAACATCGAAGAATCTCATTTCTTTCAAAGTTACGATAAGCTTATCTTAGTACTATCGACTTAATTACTGACTATCGATTTAATTATAAACTGATATTTGCCTTAGTAATAAATTAGTCAATAGCAATTAATATTTGTATTTTGAGATGTTTCACATGATAGTAACTTTATAATATATCGAAGTTTTACAAGATTATCGATATTACCGTGTCATTACATAAAATGTCAAAGATAAAGCAATATCCAGCGAAAAATAAGAAACTCGACTTTCTCTTTATTTTTAAGATTCACGATACCTCAACGCGTTTTTGGACTTTTCTCATTCTCAGACAAAATGCTTTTGACGTGTCGAAATATGCTCCTTTATGTAACCAGGAACGCAATGATCCGACAGCGAAAACAGGAATTCAGGGATAATAAGTATTTCATATACGAGTGTACCGGTGATTACATTGTTCAACACGAATTTTAATCTGTAATACAAAAAAAAGCTATATTAAATAATTCATTGACCATTTTGACTTATCATAGATAAGTGCAATTAGCACGTAAGTATATTTAATAAATTAGAAACATTACCTCGTTTTAGAAATGCAGATGGACTTCATGTACTGTAAAAATGCAACACTATTTATTGGTCAATTCGATATATCTAATATTTATAATTTCTATATATTTCCATATGTTTATATGTACAAATTAATTAAAATAATATATAATTATACCCTTATCGCCTATAAGCAGGGAAATCCATAACCAACGTAAAAGAACCTCGATGACAACGATCTCGAGATACCTCGATGCAGTTTTACCATAGTCGAAATCAGTGTTTCTTCGAACGACTAGGAAGTTTCTTTCCAAGTATGAAACTTTTTCAGCAAATCGGATTTATTTTCCTAGATTTAACGTCAGTCCACATACTAAAGACGTCTTCGTAAAATTGTCACGTCCTCTTCTTTGCAGCAACAATTTAACGTTTCTCATCCTAAGTGTTTTCAATCTTTTTACTTGTCTGAATTATTCATGATCATTTTCTCCTCCCTTTTTCTGAATTATTTACTCGACCTGATTTGATAATGACAAGAATACAAGAAATAATTTCCCTCAAAGTGCAATATAAAATATACGTTAATTGTGGTTGTTCTCATAAACTTGTTTTCGTTGAACCGTTACTTCGAGTCCGATTCTTGGAGTCTATCAGTGATAATCGTCGATCGACGATGATGCAGTGTTATGTACGATAATCACAGAAGAAGTTCGTAATGCATACTCGTGTTAGGCAGATTACCATTATCCGCAAGTGATACTAAAGGTATTACGGAAATTATTTCTCTCACGTTTCAATTGTAAGCGAGCTGCAAAAGGAACGTAGTTTTCATTAACATCTAATCTAAAATATGGATCTGAGTTTAATAGTTTGATGCGGGT